ATCCAGTCAAATCTGAGTACCCTCCTCTCCCTCACCGCACCCTTGTTTCCCTCTCTTTCAGCCCATGCACCTCCACTAAGATCTCAGCTCACATTGTACAACTCCATTTTCCATGCTCTTGATCGATCACAATTGGACACGCCAACCGTCCGTCAATCATTTGCAACCATCCTGCAACTGTGCCTAGATTCCCGACCAAAGGTGCGCAAGCGTGCCGTCGATCTGGTCGGCGATGTATTATCGAATCCACCGAGTCCACTGCTACGCCATCCTTACGCGGAGCGTGTCGCTGAGTGGATGCAAAACTCCCTTCATCAAGCGAGCTCTGGCGTCTTACCAAAATCAAAATCTACTACAACGGAGTTCTCGGTCGACAATGCCATCCGTCTCCTTGCATTGTTGCGTCCAATACTGCCCAATCTCCCACTCGATGTGAGCGATATGTTCCAGTCCGCGATTTAGCCCCTGACTGGCACTAAAAGGCCATCCCACCCATTACAACCATCCTTCTCACTTTGCCCAGACTTGGAAACCCATATCTATCACAGTCCTCCTACTCAATTCTTTCCGACTTGCTTTCGGCTTCGGTTGACTCGGGCACTCAAAGTAGTTCGGAGCAGATCCCTGTAGTGCTGAGCGCCGTACTGTCGTCCCCACCCTCAAAGTCGGATATCACCGTTACTCCGTCGTGGCTGCAAGTCCTAGGGGACGTCATGCTCGCTTATCGCTCTGCGCATCCAGAAGCGTCGTCTCAGGAATTCATCAAAGTTTGGAAAACTGTATGGTCCTTCTTCGAAACAAGCCATGCCCAAACACGGAAAGCTGTTGCACAAGCACTGGAATCGCTCGCCCAATGCATTACATTGCCCATGGCTCGCACAGCTGCGGTGGATGCATCAGATGGTAGATCACCCGTCAGGGTTGCTATTGCGCAGATTACGAAGGCTTTGGATTCCTTGGCCTACGCGTCGGCCATCCCAGAGTTGCTACACATTATATCTTCGCTCATCTTGAGCCTCAACATGCGCCTCGAAAACGGCCAATCAACACTCGCAGCCGAGACGTTACTCTTACCATTGGTACAGAAAATTGCCGATCTTCGGATTCAGAAAAACTTTGAACACAAGGAGGCCGCAGATAGCGTCATATCAACAGCGATGAGAGTCATGGGACCTGCCGTCTTGCTCGAGGTAATGCCACTGAACCTTGAGCCTCAGGACCGGTTCGTCATTATCCCAAAAAATTCGCAACCGATTGAACTCTTTTGCAGTCAAGCGGGACGTGAACCCCACGCCTTTTTGTTGCCAATGCTTGCCCAGCCACATCCTTCTCCCTTGGGACACTTCGTCTCTTACTTCGTTCCTCTTAGCGAACGGATGTTCAACCTTCAAAATAAAGCTGAGGCCGATGGCAGACAGTCCGAGGCAAAGGTCTGGAATGTGCTCATTTCGCAGGTCTGGGTAGGCTTCGCAGGGTATTGTCATGCACCCCCGGACGTTAAAAATGCAAGTACTCGAATACCATGCTCCTCCATGCTCTTCCATCTGACGCCCCCCAGGCACTCACGCCAGCTTTCTCTCAACTTTTATCTCAACTTTTGTACACACAACCCGAGCTTCGACTGTCGGTGCTCAAGGGCCTCAAGTCTTTGGTTGAATCTGCTCTCGCCGTCTCACAAACTGACCCCGAAAGTTCCACTGAAACCTCGGGAACTTCCATCACCTGCGAAGAAGCGAATCAGAACGTCGCTTTCCTGAAAACGCAAGCGGAGAGCTGGTTCGCTGTACTCTTCAACGTGTTCGGCAGTGTCGAGCGGGAGAGCAGGGGTTTTGTCGGAGACGTCATCAGTGTTTGGGCAAACATTGCCGACCCTGATGAGATCTCGAAAGCATATCGCAAAGTCGTCGAGCTATTCCGGCAGAACCTTCAAAAGCTCTCTTCTGCGCCAGACGTGCAGCAGAATGCGAATATAACCACTATGACACAAGATCTACTCATACTGCTCTTGCCTTGGCTAGAACCACAAGAAATGACGTCCCTCTTGCAGATCTGCATGAACGACGAGGTGCTGTGTTGCAAGGACAACGGTGTACAAAAGCGAGGCTACAAAATCCTCGCCAAGGTATTGAGCAGCGAGAAAGTCCAGGCTGATACGCTTGAAACCTTACAGCAGCTTGATTCTTTTACTACGGGTCTTTCGCCCGCCGCTAAAAAGGATCGTTTCGTGTTACTGGCCAACCTCATACCAAATATACCGCCCACTTCGCTACATATCATTCCATCTCTGATTCCCGAGGCCGTGTTGGGCACCAAGGAGCCCTCCGAAAAAGCCCGATCTGCTGCCTTCGAGCTGATCGTGTGTATGGGCCAAAAGATGAGTCAGGGCGGTCTGGTTATGAGACAGATGGTTGATGGAATGGATGAAGACGTTGCTCCTGAAGGTTTGTGTTTCTGTATAAGCAACTCTGTCAAGTCTCCATCATTCATGTCTACGACCCAGCAAACGCGAGCATAAACGAGTACATGACCATGGTTGCTGGTGGACTGGCTGGGGCAACACCCCACATGATTAGCGCAACCGTGACCGCGGTCTCGCGACTCGTCTTCGAGTTCAAAGGTCTGGACAGGGCATTTCACATCCACCCCACCTGCTAATATTCCATGCCGTACAGATACCATCGGTTCACAGATGCAGACCGAAATCTTTACGACTCTTCTAGTCTTCTTGTCTTCGTCGAATCGCGAGATCGTCAAGTCTACCCTTGGTTATGTCAAGCTCGCAATCCATACGCTACCTGCGGACCTCCTCAGGCCACATCTGAGCAGTCTAGTCCCTGCGCTTCTGGCGTGGTCGCACGACCACAAGAACCATTTCAAGGCAAAAGTGCGCCACATATTCGAGCGAATGATACGACGCTTTGGGTGGAACGACGTATATCAAGCTGCGGGTGAAGAGCAGGCCTCCAAAGTCCTTGTAAATATCAAGAAACGGAAAGAGAGAGCGAAACGCAGAAAAGCTCGGGAAGAGGACGAGGACGAGGAGGACGAAGTAGTACAGTCCATCGCGATGTTTACTAGTTGCTGACCAGTTTTCCAGGTACCTTCTGGGAAGGCCGCGACCGGTGACGCTTTTGAAGACGTTCTCTACGGAAGTGAGAGCGAGCTCGATGAAAGTGATGACGGAGAGCAAGCACAACGTGGGGGTAGCTCCAAACGCAAAGGCACTGACCACGGTTTGCGCCTTCGTGTGGACGATGACGACCCGATGGATCTTCTGCAGGGTGCTGTCTCACGAATGACACGTGCGTACTGCGCGAACGTTACTGGATCTTTTTGATATACCTTTCGCGCAGACGCGAAAGCTGACCGCAGGCGAAAACCTGGTCAGGATGCGAACCGTTTCAAAACCGAGGGAGAAAGCGGAAAGCTGGTCATTCCTGCAGAAGAATCCGATTCGGACATCGAGGCCAGCGCTCGCAGGGCTGCCAAAGACGTCGCAGGGAGCGCATACAGAGAAAGTGTCACCTCCGTGGACGGCTTTTCACGCGGGGCCAATGGACGTATCAAATTCAACAAAGACACGAAGAAGCGCAGACGAGAGAACGAGGATGACGACGGAGATATTGAAATGGTTGATGCCGAGGCACCAGCCAAGTCAAAAACAAACAAACGACGTTCGGAAATCAAGCTTGGCCACGAATTCAAGGCGAAGGTACGTTCCCCGTGAAGACGATTCGTATTCATGGTCTCAATGGCAATACAGAAAGCGGGAGGTGACGTTAAAAAGGGGAAAGTCGATCCCTACGCTTATTTACCTCTATCCCAAGCTGCGAAAAGAAAAAGCCGCGATCGGGTCGGGATTACTGGAAAGCGGTGACATCATGTATCTATATCTCATTTGTCGCGGCGTAACGCACAGACAGTTAACCGTATAGTGTCTGGTCATGCGGAGTGCCAAAGAGACCATGAGCCCATGCTGTGGGTTGCGTCCAGGTAGATATGACTGCTGTACTCCCCAGCGCCCTGACTGCCACCGTCGCGAGGAGTTGCGCATCCGACCTGTTGTCACCCTCCATAGCATACTGCAACAGGCAAACAATTGGTATCTGCCATGAATTGGGAATGGAGGACAGCAGCCTGTGAGCGATACCTCCACCGGGAATGAATGGCACATGCCAGGAACTGCCCTCAGAACGGTGATCTCCTGGTAACGGGGAAGAATAAGGGGGAACTGGCAAATCGGCGAGGGAAGCGAGTGGACCTCCATCTAAGGGCGGAGATACTGGAGGTTGGATGAACGTTGTTGGCGTGCTGAGAGAGAATCGCCAGTGAGACTATAGACATGGGAAGATCCTTGTGTACTTACTGCATTTGCGAGTCTGTTCTGACAGACATGTCGACGCCTCCCATGAAAACCACTGCCGATACGCCAGAGTTGCGGATGAACTCGAGGAGAGTGTCGGTAAACTGTTGCTTGAACGACTGCCAGAGATGATGACTGGCGGGAAGCATTGTCTACTGACACCGACCTACCTTGAGCACGGGGGAACGTTGCTGGATGACCGCGATCTTGCTGTTCGCCTCGCCGAACACTGACCGAGTACGATTCGTCCAGACGTCTCGACTGGTTACATGGGTGGCGACTTACGTTCAATGGGAGTAGTCAAACCGGCAGTGCCATCCTCGCGCGCACCGACGACTGGAACCAAATGTTTTGGATCGAATATGCCTACGCGATCGAGCTTGAGTGACGCGATGAGTAGATCTGCCGCCAGTTGTGCTACATTTCCGACGGATACTACAGGCTGTGTGCGATTATGAGATTCTCTTCAAGGGAGACGATACATCACTCACCACGAGGAGTACCCTCCCTGAGAGTTTGTACGTGGTGCTGAGTGGTCGATAGAAAGACATGCCGGAGCTAATATCGATCCCGCGAGATCTGATGTTATCCAATGGCATATCTGATTATCTGTTCGGGGGGTCAAAAGGTTCCGTGGTCTCTGGTAGTATATCGGATAGTACATCCGCCTGTCATTTATTCGTCGGTGACGCGGAAGAGCGGGGTTCGACTCCCCGCCAGAGAGAAATCTCGTTTTTTAATTTATTTTTGTCTCGGTGGGAGGGTGGATTGCGTGCGCAAGCGTGCAACAACTTGGTAGCATCCTTACGGCGTAATATACCAGCCAATGACACTACTTCAACTTCTCCACCATCTCGGGCACCACCTCGAAGAGATCCGCCACAAGTCCAACATCGGCGACCTGGAATATTGGAGCGTCGGGGTCCTTGAAAATGTTAGACAGTGACATAACAGAAAGCACTGAGTTACCTTGTTGATAGCAACAATGAGCTTGGAATCTTTCATGCCAGCGAGGTGTTGGATTGCCCCTGATATTCCGAGTGCCATGTACAGCTCGGGCGCAACAACCTTACCAGTTTGTCCCACTTGCAACGAGTTGTCTGCGTAGCCCGCGTCGACAGCTGCTCGCGAAGCGCCGACTGCTGCCCCCAGCGCATCGGCAAGTGGGTACAGGGTAGCCTGGAATGTCTCGGCGTTTTTGAGTGCCCGTCCGCCAGACACCACTCGGCTGGCAACTCCCAAGTCAGGACGATCAGATTTGCTTAGCGAAGTGGATATGTGGTTTGATGGGGGGTCAGAAACCTCTACAGGATCAAGGACCTCTGTTTCAGCTTCCGCTTCACCTGGTACAGCAGCGGGAAAGGCGGTCGACCGCACGGTGAAAAACTTGATAGATATCGAAGACGACGCTCGAACCGTTGAAATGGCATTTCCTGCGTAAATCGGACGGGAAAATGTCGTACTGTTGGTTGAAATATCATGTTCGACTGACGTGATATCAGACACGGCCGGAACATCAAGTTTGGCAGCAACTCGGGGGAGAATGGATTTAGCAGACGAGGAGTGTGCTGAGACGACGTGTGTGAACGGAGAACCAGACGAGAGGACCTTTTCCAAGAGTGGGGCGACAATCTCCGGTAATGGCGTGGAGTACTGCGAGGAGACGGAATGGAGCACAGTGTCTAGTCCCTTTATCCTGCGATGGTACGCGCGTTAGTAGGCATTGTGAGACTAGCGAAAACAGATATACTTCTTTGCCTTGTCTACTACGCCCGGGACTTGGTCCGGGGCGCCTGCAAGGAGACCGGTCACCTTGCCACCAAGTCGGGAAGCGGCGGTCAATGCGGAGAGGGATGCGGAGTCGAGTTCACCGTCACGATGCTCCAAGAACACCAGCGCATGTGGTGCTGGAAACGTGGAATAACGTCTTGCGAGCGCCTTGCTCAACGCTGCTGTTCTGACGCGGAGCATGGGAGATGGTGATGCGAAATAATCAACAGACCCTTGTCCGTCAGCACGTGATTCGGTCTACTACTCTCATCTCCTCGTCCATTGCAAATGTCTTTACAGGGCTTGATATCTGGCTCCGAGTGTGCCGTGCCTTCGAATCCGTTGGCACAAGTCCTCAAGCACACCGAAGGCGACAGGAGCTTGCAACAGGTGTGTACTTTCCTCTGGGAATCAGATAGTTGATCAACTCGGTCAGGATCGAGTCGCAGGACCTTCATCGTTCCGGGTACGGCGGTCTCTTCCATTTCTGCGAGTCTCACTCAAGCTTTCATACAGTTGCAACATCTTCCGGGCAGCGCGCCAGCTCAAGCTGCAGAACAAGATGTCCAGATGGCAAGGCAATTTTTTGGAGGACCGATGGCGGCCCCGACACCATCTCTTGCACTGACATCCCCAGGTCCTCACGTCGAGCTTTCCCGCTTGCCCGAGGCCAGTGCAAGGTTCGATCTCAACCAAGCTTGGGCCGGAGGGCTACCGCAGCAGCACCAACCGGCGTTTCGCGACAACGCGACGCGAGCCCCATGGGCTTCCGAGTTCGGTGGGATGCTCAACCAAGCCATTCGAGGATCTTCCGCACAGCAACCGGGGCAACAAAACTTGGATGGTATGTACTGGTACTAAATGTTTGCTCTGGCGCACTCTGAGCCGAATCACCCAGTACAACGCCCTTACACAAGCCTCGGTATCCCTTACAATTATTCCATGCCTACGGCCATGTATGGATCTAGTCTGACAGGCCCTGCTATGTACCAAGGTTTCAACCCCACTCTTCACACGATGTCATCGGATAAGGGAAAGGGAAAGGCCAAGGACGCGGACTTTGAAGCTGCATTTGCGCAGGCCACTGCTTCCCTCAGCATCTCTGACACGAGCAGCTCCGCAAGGATCGTGGAACTGGGGACCAGTTCTACCACTGTTGAGTCTGTACCTGAAGATGTCACAACCAGCACAGCATTCTCAGAGTTAGTTTCTATTATTGCGGGTGTGTAGAAACTGTGACCTTACACTTTATCAGGGTCTGGCAGCATTTACAAGAATCCGGTGCACCACCCAAGGATGAAGATTTAGCAAAGTGGGAATCGGAATTCAACCAACTCATGACGGCCCAACGTGAAGAACTGGAACAAGACTATGGTGGAGTAATGCAAGATGCATGGCAAAGTGGATTAGGCGAATTCACCGACAGGGCGACCGATAATCCTAAGTTTGATGAGCTTGGATACCCGATTCTGCCTGAATATGTCTTTGGTGAGGCTCGCGTTGTGTTTCTTCGTGCGTGTGATTGTTGAGGTTGAATCAGAGCAAAACAATCCGTTCTTGCTACCCCCCACATCCCTCCGGTCTCCGCTGAGCGAGGCGAAGGCACTTCTGGAACGCAATGTATCGTTATCGGAGGCTGCGCTGCTAATAGAAGCTGCTATACAGACAGGTGAACTGGGTGAGCACGGATATGAGGCCTGGATACTTCTAGGAGAAACAAGAAGCATGGATGAGCGTGAGGAACAGGGCATTTGCGCTCTGATGGAAGGAGTTCGGAGGGCAGAAGCTGCTGGTGCAGACGGAGCGGGCATGTTGGTACGAATAATCATTTATCGCGAAGTCGTGACTTGATTCATCGATCTTTTCCAGTCGCTTGCGATTTCATTTACTAACGAGTCGTATGACCGGGCATCATACCATATGCTGTGGCGCTGGTTGCATGCACGGTTCCCGACGTTCCCGATACGTGATGACGTCGAGAAAGCCGTCCGATCTCATTCAACATGGGACTCCCATGATCGCCTTACTGATGTCTTTCTGGAGCTCGCAAGGCAACAGTATGGCCAAGGTGTAGTTGATCCCGATGTCCAGGTAGGACTTGGTGTCCTGTTTTACAACAAAGCGGAGTACGATCGTGCGAAGGATTGCTTCGAGAGTGCGTTGTCTCAACGTCCCCAGGTGGGTTTCGTGCCTACTTTGGGGATGTCGTAAATGTTGACCCGTCGCAGGATTATCGCCTGTGGAATCGACTTGGTTCATCTTTGTCCAATGGTAATAAGCCAGAGGAAGCTCTGGGTGCCTACAGAGAAGCGCTAAGTCTCCGACCGACGTACACGCGTGCGATCTACAATGTTGGAGTTGCCTGTGGGTTAGATGACGTGGGTTTTTTGCACAATATTGATGATTGTACAGGTCTGAACATCGGTGCTCACAAAGAAGCCGTGGAACACTTTCTCAGTGCCCTAGACCTGCAGGAGTCAACAGGGGATAGACAAACGAGCAATCAACTTTGGTTTACGTTGAGACGGGCCTTTATACAGATGGTGAGCCGGCCTGACGTCGCGCCCCTTTATCTTTCTTAAGTCTATTCCGCTTGAAGGACCGTAACGACCTTGCAGAGTTCGCTAAACCCGAGAGTCGCACTGCATTGAGCGTTTTTCGACAACAAGGCTTTGATTTCTAGACAGGCAGTCTCTGATTGATGGTTGCGGAACTTCAAGTTGTATCAATTATATAGATATACAGTCTGGTCCGAAGTGTACGCGTGGTCAAGTTTTATCTCTGTCAGAGTAAAGTTCCAAATTAACCCTCTCTAAGTGATCAGCTCATGTGCCAGTTCCAAACCCCAGTCTTAGCAGTCAGAATTCGCCATCATACACATACCACACGCAGTTCGCCGATCAATCGGTCTCCTGATTCTTACCGCGACAACGACAGCAGTCAACTCGAAACCTTGAAAGTGTCTTCTAATTCTGGTGTCTCCTCCGTGGCCAAGTTAGACCAGGGGTTGACGTTCCACTTGCACGGGGAGCCGTCGTGGGTTTGAATCCGTGTGATGGATAGAAAATACGTCGATTCTAAATAATCCAGGACCGCCCTGGTCATGGGGCCCTGCCAGGGGTCCGAAGAGAACCGACTCAACCAGACCGCTCTGACTCCATTATAAGTAACTCGGCCCATCAGTACTCGGCCAGGGCCTTCGAGCGTCCGTGCAACAATCATGTCCGACGTCGAGATGTAAGTTCCTCGTCGTTTCCTCAAGATCGAACAATCGGTTATCTGCCCTCACTAGTCACACTGTTTCGAAGCCCTCGGGAACTTCTAGTAATGTTAAGCTCAACAAATTCTCTAGTCAGTTGACGCAGGACAAGGTGAGCCCACTTTGTATTCGACATGGGATGAAAGGGGTCGCTAACTTGTACATGCAAGGCCCGAGGTGGAGCTCAAGCCATGCGTTCGCAGCCTGTACTATCCCTTTCGCGTGGAAGATTCTAATGTATTACCTGCAGTCTACGCCACTGGCTTGACCGAGGAGGATATGGATAAGCCTCAGGTATGAGTTATGCTCCCGAGCACTAGCATATCACCTGACTTTCTCTGGCAGATCGGTATCTCTCCGATCTGGTGGGAGGGTGAGTATGCAACGTTGTATCGGAAGGCGTCAGCCTGATTACCATCAAGGCAATCCGTGTAACATGCACCTCGTGGGCTCTATCATTTGTTCTGTACCCACGTGTTATACTGATTTTTCCACAAAAAGCTCGACCTCGCGAAAAAGATCAAGGAGGGTTGCAAGGAGGAAGGCCTCGTTGGATTGCTCTTCAACACCATCGGTGTCAGGTCTGTAGTTGCGCTGGAGTCTCATCGATGATATTCAGCTCATCGTGACTTCCAGTGACGCAATCACTATGGGAACTGACGGTATGTTTAATACCTCCCCGGGAAGTATATTTC